TCTTAATCGGACTCAAAGTTATATGTTCCACTCTTCTCACTGGTGCCTCCCTTGGTCTTCTTTGTACATGCCCAAACCATCTCAACCGATTTTCTACCATTTTTTCCTCAATAGGTGCCACCCTCACTTTTTCACGTATGTGCTCATTTCGAATTTTATCTTTACGTGTATGTCCGCACATCCATCGTAACATTCTCATCTCTGCTACTCCAACTTTATGCTCTTGCTGTCCCGTTAGAGCCCAGCATTCACTACTATATAACATTGCCGGTCTGATAGCAGTACGATAAAACTTTCCTTTAAGTTTATTAGGCACCTTACGGTCGCAAATAACTCCTTTAGCTTTTCTCCAATTAAACCACCCAGCTTGAATTCTATGTGAAATATCTCCACTGATTTCGCCATCATTTTGAATAATGGCTCCCAAATATCTAAACTTTTCCACTTGAGGTATAATTTGATCTCCAATTTCACTTCCAAATTATTTTCGAATAGTCCTTTACCAAATTTACAATATAAATATTCCGTCTTACTTCTACTCAGACGAAAACCTTTCAACTCCAATGTCCTCCTCCATAACTCAAGTTTGCAATTAACCTCTTCTCTTGTCTCTGCTATAAGAACTATATCATCCGCGAAGAGCATACATTTCGGGATTTCCTCTTGAATATGTTCCGTCAAAACATTTAAAATCAAGTTGAACAAATAAGGACTCAGAGATGATCCCTGATGTAGTCCAATCTTTATAGGAAAATCCTTTGTTTGACCACTAGGCGTTTTTATACTAGTTTTTACCCCCTCATACATATCTTGTATGGCTTTAATATAAGCAATCCGTACTCCCTTTTTTTCCAACGCTTTCCAAAGCACTTCTCTTGGTATACGGTCATAAGCTTTTTCCAAATCAATAAAAACCATGTGTAGATCTTTATCTTTACAACGATACTTTTCCATTAATCCCCTTAGTAGATAAATTGCCTCTGTAGTTGATCTACCTGGCATAAAACCAAATTGATTCTCAGAAATACTTGTCTCCAATCTCAACCTGTGCTCAATTACTTTCTCCCACAATTTCATTGTGTGGCTCATGAGTTTAATCCCTCTATAGTTAGTACAATTCTGAATATCTCCTTTATTTTTATAAATAGGAATTAATGTACTTCTCCTCCACTCATCAGGCATTTTCTTGGACCGTAAAATCACATTAAATAACTTAGTTAACCATCTCACCCCTTCTTCACCTAAACATTTCCACGCTTCGATAGATATACAATCAGGTCCGTTAGCTCTACCATTTGCCATTTTCTTAAGAGCTTCCTTTACCTCCTTATCACGTATTTTTCGATAGAATGACAAATTTTGTTCTCCTTCACCAGTTACTAAATCCTCCAAGTTACTAGATGAATCCTCTCCATCATTGAAAAGTTTAGAAAAATAAGTCTCCCATCTATTTTTAATTTCATCATCTGTAACTAAAATTCTTCCCTCTTCATCCTTAATACACCTTACCTGTTCTAGATCTCTTGATTTTCTTTCCCTACTCTTGGCAATCTTATAAATATTTTGCTCTCCTTCCTTCGTCTCAAGGTTCTTATAAAATTCTTCAAAAGCTTTGGAACGAGCTTCACCCACAGCTCTCTTAGTTTCCTTCTTAGCCATACGGTACCTCTCCCAATTTTCCTCATTGTTACACAAATGTATGGCTTTAAAACAGTTCTTCTTATACTTGATTTTGTCCTGTACACTATTATTCCACCACCAAGACTCCTTATCTCTCGGACCAGAACCTTTTGATTCTCCCAAAACTACTTTTACAACCTCCCGTATCTTTTTAGCCATATCCTCCCATATGATGTTAGCACTTCCCTGAGAATCCCAAATTCCTTTATCTAAAAGATTTCGCTTGAAAATATCTTGCTTCTCACCTTTTAATTGCCACCACCTAATCTTTGGTGTTACTACTTGTCGACGTTTTTGGATTTTACTCATAATACACACATCAAGGACTAGGACCCTATGTTGTGTCGTTACAGCATCTCCAGGGATCACCTTACAATTTTTACAAAGTTTTCTATCTGTGTTCCTAACCAAAAGAAAATCAATCTGCGACCTTGAGGCTCCACTTTTGTAAGTGATGAGATGCTCATCTCTCTTCTTGAAACAAGTGTTGGCAATCTTAAAATCATACGCCAATGAGAAATCAAGAAGAGTTTGCCCTTCATTATTTAGCTCTCCAAAACCAAAACCACCATGCACCCTCGCATACTGACCAGCTTCCCTCCCGACATGCCCATTAAAGTCTCCTCCAATAAAAATCTTTTCACTCTGTGGTATGTGTCGAATCAACCCCTCCAGATCCTCCCAAAATAATTCCTTAAGACTGGCTTCTGTCCCGACTTGCGGCGCATAAGCGCTAACAATATTAACAGTCTCACGTCCAATTATCATTTTTAAAGAAATAATTCTGTCTCCAATTCTGCTAACTTCTACAACGTTCTTCTTCCACTCATTATCTATAATGATGCCTACTCCATTGCGTGCACTTACTTTTCCTGTATACCAAAGTTTGAAACCTTGAATATCCTTAGCTCCTTCTCCACGCCATTTTGTTTCTTGCAAGCAAAGGATATTGATTTTCCTTTGAATCATAACCCCTACAACCTCTACAGATTTACAATTTAATGTCCCAACATTCCAAGTACCAAATCTAATTTTGCTCTTATGGACTAACTTCTTTAGCCGCGTGCGTCCAGAATGACGCGGTAGCCCTTGCTCATTTAACACTACATCCGGGCGCCGATGCAGCGGCTCTAACTCACTTATCACTGTACTCGAGCCATGCAGCGCGTTACTTACGGGCAACGACCTAGCATTAACATTATAACGTCTATTGTCCATGTTCATGATAGATTCAACAAATTTTTACATTGGCTGTTGATGGCCTAACACAACCCTCCTCCTTTACCCGGGCTTGGGACCGGCTATAAACATAGGCGGAGTTCTCGGTTAGATAACCATGTAAAAAAAAAAATAGATAACCATGTAAAAAAAAAAAAAACTTTTGCTATAGATGTGCTACTAATTGATTAAATACAAAAAATAAGTAATTTCTTTCATTTTATATAAACTCTATACTACTCTTATTATTCTCTCTTTCTTCAAATTTTAGCCTTTTACATGTGATGCTGCCAGTTAATTACCCCACTAATTTATTATGCCTAGCTTCATGCAGCGAAATAATTTTCAAAGATTCATATCTGCAACAAATGCATTGATGATAGAATGCAGAGAGAGAGAGAGAGAGGGAGGGAGGGAGAGAGAGAGAAGATCCACAGAGGCCCATGCATAGAGTTTTGAGCTACTTGGCATAGCCACATGCAACTATTTCTCTTTATGATTCAAAACTATCAATTTGATGTAGTGGTCCTCCTCTTCTCTTTCACTCTCTCTCTCTCTCTCATCATGTTATTGCTCATTATTATTATTATTATTATTATAGTTACTGGGATTGAATATTACTGATAGCACTACAGACTGATACGAGCAGCATCAAGACGTAGCAGTTCTTCAATGGTATTTTTGCATGTGCCTTTCATGTGACTCTTGGGACCCTCAATCTATTATCTATATCCAATCCACACAATAAACACATCTGACTTTTACAACAACTCCAAGAAAAGAAAATACAAAATTATATAAATGCTAAGAAACATTAACTTTATTCTTTCATGTTTTTCATGATGCTTCAGAGTTTGATAGCCTTACCTAGCTGAAGGCTTTTGGGAAAGCTTTGGAAATGTGGGATTTTGGGTGCAACCTTCACTTTATAGTTCCTTTTGATGTCAAAATCTCTTCCCCGCAAAGCAAAAGTTCAAAAATAACACCAAAAACTTAAAAGATTTTTTTTTTTGAAAAAAAAAAAGAAAGTGGCTTTAATTTGGATAGAATTATTGACCCATGGATCTATCTTGTACTAGCTAGCTAGCAACTTTCAAGGCCCAACTCATACATATATTATATCTGCTCCTCCTCTTCTTTTTTCTTGAGCTTTTCTCTCTCCCATTTGACCTGTAAGCCTTTACTTTTCTCTCTGGAAAGACGAAGAAAAATTCGTGGACCACATCTGATATTGAAACCTCAATGAGAGCTTCTGGGTTTGGAGTTCCACTGATCCTTTCTGAACTGACTCTTTTATTTATAGGATAAAGAATCATGGATCGTTTTGCTGACACAAAATCTTTTTAAAAAAAGTAAAGAAGAAAAAGAGGAAAAACAGACAAATAAATAAAACCAAACAACTAGAAGTGATGGTTAAAGAGGGTAGGTGAGTCTCCATGATCAATGTGGATTATTTTATGTATGATTGAACCTCCTCCTTTTAAAAAAAAAAATAGAATGTATAAAATTTGCTTTATATTGCTATCTCTTTATACCATATCATTATTTCAAGATCTTACATTTAATATAATTTTGTGGAAATTTGTATTGAATAGCACAGGCTATTGCAACAAACATTGTAGCAGTATTATATTATATTATATTACTCTTCAATGGTCATTGAAAATGTCACGTTCATCTATATTATTGATGCTACCTAGCCCAGTTGGATCTGCATATATCTAATTCAGACAGCAAATTTGAAGATTGGTTGGGAAGGGACAATCTCCAGTAAACATAACTGTTTGATGTTTAGTATTTATTTAAAAATTATTTTTATTCTAAAAAATCATAAATTTTGAAATCGTTGCTAATACGTTAAAAAAACTAAAATTGTCAACTTGTGTCTGTTAAGTGCAGTGTAACTTGTACAATTTTTTTAAAGCTAACTTTGGAACTTGTTCATCCAAGTCATATCTTTTTCTTCTTCCTCTTATTTCCTCTCTTCTTTCCCCCGTTTTTTCAGCTCAATTCTCATCTTCAAGATTCTATGAATTAAATTAACAGCATCACCAAAGCCCAAAAATCAACGGTAGTACTGTAAGCCATAAGAGAAGAAAATCTCAAAATAACAACAGTAATAATATTAAGAAGAATGGGGAAACAATCAAACGTCCCAAAGTAATAATTAATGTATTATTATGGATCTGTTGCTCTCAATTTGAGCATGTAGCTTTTTCGTGGACTAACTGCAATTGAAAAATAATTCCCCAAGGCTTGAAAGGGATGTCCAAATTGGAAGGTATTCATTTAAGCCCCAGAAAGTTTCAGCATATCGGATAGTTGGCCCGTGTAGTAGTCTGGTTGAATATTATTTGAAGGGTGTCTCAGATCAGGTTCTGATGTTACACCTGTTCCCCCAAAGCAATCACACCAAGTTATCAATCATTTTCACAGTCAGGACAGCTCAGAATGTAAAGAAAGACAAGGTACTTTTTTCTTGGGAGAATGACAATTGAAGACCCTATAAGAAAATTAATGTAAAGTGAGAATCTGTGATGAAACTTATAAATTTACAACTCAAACTTTCATATTCACAACGTAAAGGTTCTTATTTTATATAGGGTCTACAATTGTCATTCTACCCTTTTTTTCCTTCTGAAGAGAAAGTTAAGTCCATTACCTGAAAGTACAAGAATAGTTTTGCAGCCAGCATTCTGTCCAAACAAAATATCAGTGTCTAGTCTATCTCCCACCATACACATCTTGGATGGACTTATGTTGAATCTGATTGAAAGAGTGAATTATACAATGGTGAGAAGAATATCAAGGAAGGAGCAAGTCCCGGCTGGATGGGGAAAGGGGGGGGGGAGCCTACAAACTTAAGCCATTCGACTTTCTTACTTCTGTATTAAAAAGTCCATCATAAATGTGGATGGCTTCCCAACTACGATAGGCTCCTTTTGGGTTGATCCACAAATGGCAGCAACCATACAACCGGCACCTGAGGTCCAAGTTTTATCCATTATAAGACCATATAATCAAGTTGCATACTAATTCCAGTCTTCAGGAATAGAATGGAATTGAAAATTGAACCAGGCCATTCTTGCAAGGCAGTCATATGACCAACTGCGTCCCGGTTCGTGGCCATAAAAAGGCATCCTGGGTTCTCCCGTATGCAAAGGGTTCCATACCTGTGAGGTCAAATGTTAAAGCATGATCATATGAAGCAAATGAAAGCGAGCAATAAACTGATGATTTGATGCTAGTATTCAAAAGGTATGTCCTTAACTTGTTTCAGCAGAATTTCAGAGGATGTCAATACACATTAACATTGTGATTTTAGTAGTTTTGTATAGTCATATTCACCTAGAGCAAATGAGATATGATATCGGAACTTCAAAGTCCATTCTTTTGTCAGGTTATCCTCTAATGCACGTGATTTATTTTGACTTTAGCTGTTGTAATTTCTAGTTTGATGCACAAGTCTTCTTGAAAATGAGTAATGTGTTCAATAGGTCACTCATTCAGTACTGTAAACTTATTACAAATGCGCTGTACTCTATCCTTACAGATGTTTGACATAAACAAACGTTGAAAGAATCCTTTTAAAAAACTTGGCAGAGCAGATTAATCCACAAGGACAAACTAAGACTACCAGAAGTTGAAAATAAGTCAGCTTCCTCAAAATAATATGCCTTGTGTATACTTCAGATAGTACCAGCTACTAAAATATAGCTGTGACAGCATCTCTCAATATTCTTTATGGACTAAATATGTAGAAAGGTCATTAAAGATCCGACGCTTGATCACCGGAGAGCCAAGTCTATAAGAAAATATACTGAAATTTTAGTCAGGAACAAAGAAGATAGATCTTCTTACTGAAGCTTGTAGTAGTTAATGTATGGATCTATTCCTACCACAACAGCTCCAACCTGCAAGAATGAGTTCAGCAGTTAACTGCCTGCACTGAACTCAGTGAAGATGCATGTAGAAAAATTGGGCAAGATGTTTCATTACACTCTTATCATGGTCAAAGAAGCGATTCTGCTTCAGCTGTACCGTTTTATTCCCATCTTCCTGCAACAATTGAACTCGTCTATGAGAGCTACGTCAGTAGCAGTCATCCCCTGTCTCTGTCTTGTATTATTGAATATTTACAGTAGTTGATCACTTGAGTCATTGTTAGGGAAAGACTTCATATCTAGTAAGACTCCCCCCTTTTTTCTCTCATTGAAGAGAAAAACCATCTAACCAACTAAATTTGAAGCAAAAGATCACTTGAACTGAAAGAAATTAATTTGGGAGCACAATACAGTCTCAGATAGCTCTCCAAAGTCTTAAGAATGTAACCTTAAAATTCAATTAGGAATCTAAGAAAGGAAGGGAAAAAGTGAATCTGCTGAACTTACTGGACCACCAAGACCAGTAAAGCCGGCAAGCCGCAACTCCTCCAGTATACCTTCCTCACCAATTACATAAATCTGCAGGATGAGACGGGAAAATAAAAAAAACCAATGGATAAAACTGATATCTACAGACTGGCAAAAATAACAAATCTCAACCCAGATTGTATAACCGGAATCAGTGAAATACTTAATAAATGTTCTAATAATTTATGAACAGGTATCATCTAAAAATGAGGAGTCCCCTACATGAAGCCAGGAACTTAATGTGGAATAAAATATTGAGACTCAAATCACTCAATATACATGAAGAGACAATTAGGACGAAACAAGCTAAGAAAATCAGAATGATGCACATGCAAAAGCTTGCTAGCTGATCTTCAAGCAAATAAACTTCAAATGACACGAGAATGTAATCAGAATCATTTTATTTTCTGGCTTTTAGATTTGATTACGCAGACAGAGAAATAAGCACATGAAAGATGAAATTGAAAGTAAAATCGCTAGTAAAGATGAAATTTAACTGAGTTCGTCGCAAGGCAAGGAACACCATTCGATACTTTAAATAGAAATAAGGAATTTAAAAGCTTTCTTTGCCACATTAGTTCAACACACCAACCTTCTTTTCTGAGGGAAAATCGTTGATCTTCAAGTACATGGCAGCAGCAAAGGACGAGGAGAAAATCTCCTCCTGCAAAATGGAACTAGGTAGCAATGAGATAATTACTCCAAATTTAACAACATGGAGGTTCATATCCAATTCAGTTCAACAGAACGAAACCTCGGAAACCGAAATTCCTAAAGATTGGAATTTTTCAGCGTACTGTCTCCTGGATTTCGAGGAATTGTTAGTCACAAACACCAGCTTCTTCCCCTGAAGCACAAAGCAAAATTAAATTGATGATGATAAAGGAGATGAACAAAGCAAAATTACAGCACACACACCTTGGACCGGAGCATATCCAAAGTTTGTGGAACACCATCAATAAGCTTATCACCCTTCCAAATGACACCTGACAGTAACGATCATATCAAACAAATGGAATATAAGAAAAGAAGAAAAGCGGGAGAAAAACAGAGAGGATATTCATATACCATCGCAATCGAAGACGAAAGCTTCGACGGCATCGAAGAGATCTTGGAGGTTCTGAGAAGAGAGAGGGAGAGAAGGCATTGTGACAGACGGTGAAACGAAGAAGGTGAAGCTTAGGCCAGCAAAAGCAGAGAAAAGGAAAACGAATTTGAGTACGCGCGCTATGGCTGACCATATGACTCATTTTCCTGGCGGGCTATGAAGCTGTGTTAGGTTATGTGAGAAACAACGGTCGTTCAATCGCCAACTGCATCAGCAATTCAGCATTGGTGGTAAGAAAAATATTTGTTGGCAAAACTTGTAAAAGGAATAAATGGTACTATATCTATGATTTATAAATAATGTAATTTATTTAAATTTAGAATTTATGTTAATTGATATAAATGTTGATTAATTAATTTATCCTACTTAACAAATTGGTAGTTAAATTTTATTTAGAAAATTTTAATTTATGTTTCTCACTAGGGTTGATTAAAAGTTTCTTATAAATCGTCTAGTAATAAAAAATTAAATTAATAACAAAATTAAATTCATAACCATATAAATTATAAATCAAATTATTATTAACCATATCAATTTTTATTAGTTAATTTTTTTTTTTTTACTTTCACACTCAGTATCCTAAAATGCCTAAATCTATTAGGTTTATTGTCCGCTCAGGCCACTCTAGGCTAAGCCAAATCCTCATTTAAGTAGGTACTCTTTGAGAGAGTTTTGTATGTGCACTCACATGGGATGCTTTATCAATTAATTTTAATTTATATTGATATAACCTTGCAGCCCAAATTCAACAACCACAGAATGGGCCATTTAGGCCGGCCCACATCTGGACTTGTGGAACATGGTGCACTTTTGATGATGCGAGAGACGATAAAGGCTGAAATTCAAGAGATGGCCAAAAAAAAAACCCCCAAAGATCACGCTCGAAGAAATCTTAGCCTCTTAGGGCCAGTTTGGTTCACATGATGAAATAAGGATGTGAGAAGCGAATTGGAAAGGGAAAGGTTTGGTTGGATGATTTTTGCTTCCCAAAACCAAATTTTCAAGTTTGGATAAAGTGGGTTCCCTTAGGAATTCAAGTTCAAGGTGTTATTTGGTTTTGGTTTTGCTTTTATTTTTCAAGACAAAATGAAATAAAAATGAGTTTAACTATATTAATTTGAAAACACTTTCAAAGTAAAAAAAAAAACCAATAACACTACTTTATGGAAGCTTAGATGGTGGAATAATCATATTAGAGTGAACTGGCTTAGGCATATGGAAATATTTATGTTGACTATGCTAAACAAATGTTTTTACGTACATTAACTTGGTTATAGTTGTACATGTTAATTGATAGATGTGAATTATTATGTTATTAATATGTTTATCTCACCTTATAGTTATATTTTACAAGTGAGGGCTCTAGTAGAAACAAAGAAAAGGAAGAGACTAACGAGGAGTAAAGAGCTTCGTCTGTACGGCTCTTCTCTTTCATGATTTGGTATTGTAACGAATTCATGTTAATTATACCAACTTAGAATCATTCATTGTTTTGTATTTGCATGCATGAGAATTATGGTGTATGAGTGTGTATCTCAACCTAAAATGATATATCTGTATTGAAGTTATTATGAGAGGTCGAGATATTAGTACCGGTGATATGTTTGTGTTGATTATGTGTTGGAATGGTCAAATGACATTTATCATGAATTTTAGCCACCCCTTGATATTGCTGTGAAATGGAGGTTTTGATGGTCATTTTGTATATGGGCTGTTATGGTTGTGAAATGATTGAATTATCAAGTTGTATGTGATCCATTTGAGTTAGTTCAAGTAGTTCTTAGGTTATTAGCACAAGATTGTGAGTTTTGGACACCTATTAATGTGTTGAGGGTTGAAGACAAACTATTTTATATTTTGAGTGTCTAACTAATGGTTGAATGTTTGGTTGTGAAATCAATGCCAATAGTTAAAAGGCTCAAAGAATTATGTGTGGATACTTGAACTATTCAAATCAAATGTTGAATGGCAAAATGGTACACTCTAAAAGTTAGTCTAAAATGCTGTCTTGATAGCAGGTGTGCGCCGCAGTACATGACAGTCACACTGCTACGCAATACATAAAAAGGGACGTGATCCATTTGTGTCATCCATTATAGCAAACAATGTTAATTCTAAAAAAGTTTAAATTGTTCCAATTATGCATTTAAGAGTTATTTTTTATTTCCATCCTTCTATTATGAGCTCAAACGGCTTTTCAAAAGAGTTTTCTTGGGATTTCAATATTTTAAACTTTATTCTTAAACCTTTAGATTGTGATAACTCTTCTTAGGGATTAGAATTAATCCTAGTTATCATAACTGTGTGTTAGAGTGTTGTTCTAGTAATGTCAAGGCAGACATTATACTAAGTGAGATTGAGACAGAGGTCGAGAGTAAGATGCCGACTTGTGCTTGCTAAGATTGAGAGGTTAGGATCAGGTGAGTATTCATCGATGGTCAATAAAGAGTTAAAGATAGGTGAGATCGAGATGTTGGGAATCATGAGAAGAGGTCAAGAATCTTAAGGTGAGGAGAGGCTGAGATCTTGACTTGTGAGTGAGACTAAGTGTGCGTTTGGATACACTCACGTTTACATTTCAAAAGTAGATTTTAACTTTTCAAATGTGAAATGTTGTTTGGGTTTTTTTTCTAGATAGAATGTGCTTTCAAAACTAGCTTTCAAATACGTTTGAAATGGAAAAATTTGCAAGGCTCCTTAGTGTTGCTTTTAAAATGTGATCTGTGGCATTACGTATTTATGGTCGATACCTAATATGTTTATTGACCATGATGCCCTTTCACTTTATGCATGGAAGATGCAATGTGGTCGCTGAAACTATATCTTTTTATTTATCTCGTTCGTGCAACCAAGCTGTGTCTCTCATTCTTTGCTGCTGCTCTCATCTTGCTCATCCATCGCTCGACTGTCTCTTCTCCTTTTCTCATTCGCCTCTCCTCCACCATCTCACGGATCCAAAGCTCCTTATCTCTTCCTTCCCTAAGCTCCTCCTTCCTTCATCGACGGTCGTTGTATTTTACCATCTGATTTCTCCTTATCTCTTTCACAGATCAAGCTTATTTTGGGACTTGGACGACATTTTAGAGCTGAGAGAACTTCAACCAGCTGGATTTACAACCTGTGGAGTACAAAACTAAACATTCAGACTAGCTCATCAAACTTCGACCCTCTTTTCCAATCTGCTCTTCGATCTGCAAGGTATGATAGCCTTCAAGCATTTTTTTTATCAGATCTGGAAATGGTAGTGCTCTGTTTTACATTAATAGATGAAATGGCAGTCCTCCATTCTGCTTTTTGATCTGATCTGTTTTTCTTTTTTTTTCGGACCACTGTGAAGCCTCTGTTCTAGTGTGACTGGTGTGAGGTTTTTTTTATTACCTTCTTTTGATTGCCATCCTCTGCGTAAAACAGGAACATGTCATGAGATGGATGAGATCTATCAATATTTATGATTGTATTTTGTGATTGTTTTATTGATCTATTAATGTTCTGGGAATATGACACGGTGTTCTAGGAATATGTTCTGATGATTGATTTGTTAATTGTTCCATCTTGCTTTGTTTTTTTTCTTCAGTTTTGTTTTGATAGGAATTTTAGCTCATTCATTTTTCGAAAACTGATGAAGAGATGAGAAAGACTATAAATTTCTAATCAAACTTGCTTATTTTAATACATAATATTGAATCATATGATTTGAATTTTTGAGTAAGTCCAGAATTGTTAAGCCATCTGATTGTGGCTGCTTTTAAATAACAGCTTCTTTCAACAAGTATATGTGGCTAAGATAACAAGTGGTTAATTAACCATGATCGAATAATCTTTTTCTCTTTGTTTCCAAAAAAACAAAAAAATACAATTATTATTGACTTTTCACTGATAAAAATAAAAAATACAATTATTATTGACTTTTCATTGATAAAAAAGGATAGTAAAATTTTTAATATTTTAAGTCTAACTCAATTATGGATTTTTACTCCTCAAATTTCATTTGTATTGAGAATATGATATTTTGATAGTAAAAATGAGTAAAGAAAAGGCACTATGGACTACAAAAGAGATCGAATTATTCATTAAATTAGCTCTCCAGCAATTTAGGAAAAATGAGCATAAAGGCTCTACCTTATCAAAGGAAGGTTGGGAGGTGCTAATGTAACAGTTCATGCTTTAAGCTTTAGAAGCTATGATAAGAAGTAGTTGAAGAATAAATGGGACAATTTGAGGAAAGATTGGAATATATGAGACAAACTATTGAACAAAGAGACTAGTTTGGGATGGATAATAAAAAGAATATTATTTCAGCACCGGAGGAGTAGTGAAATCAAAAGATTAAGGTATACAATTATATATGGCATGCTATACATTTGATATTTTATTTTATAAATATATTGGACTCAATTCTTGTAAATGTGCAGGAGAATCGTAAGTATAGGAAATTCAGACATAAACCACTTCCATATGTACAAAAATTGACACATTTGTTCCAGCTAGTTGCAGCACGGGGCACTTACATGTGGACACCTGTGGCTAATGATCGACAAGATGTGTATAGGCCTCAATTGGATTTGACTAAAAGATCAGGAGATAATGATGATGTAAGAAACATTAATGGAGGAGCTCTCCCAAAGTTGGTAGGTTAACTTGAATAACGCATACAGTGGTGGTACTAATTTAGGGAGCAAGCAAAAGAGAGGTGAAAGTAGTCAAAACAAGAAGGGAAAACGTCTTGCAACCGTGATGGTTGATTCAGTGAGTTGATTGGTGTCCACGTAAGAGGATAGGGTTTCAACATTGAAGTTAATTCTTAATTCTATAGAGGGTGGAACAAAATCAGCTGATCAAAATGTGGTAGATGTTGCAAAGGAACTTTATGGAATCAAGGAGATTACTTGTGATGAGACCCTTTTTAGACAATGTGCTATGGCCTTGCTAGATAAGATTGCAAAGAACATGTATGTTAGGCTTAAGGACAACAGAAGAGCATTAGTGACCTATTTGAAGTGCTTAGGCAAAAAAGCAAATTAGATCAATCCTAGCTTGCCTTTTAATGTTTTAAATTTAGCTACTATCATTCATGTTGTTAATTTATTTTGAAATTGATTGTGTTATTTGACTCTTGTTTTATGCATTTCTTATGTTAAGTCATGAATAATGGTGCAATGGTTATCAAATTATGTT